TTAATCTTTTTTTCTTGGCTTTGTTTGGGACGATTTTTTTTATTGTTTCTTAAAGCGCCTATTTAGTACAAAATTTTTAATTTTTGTACTAAAAAACTATTTTAAAAAGCAGAAAAAAACCGTCCAAAACAAAGCCTTTGACAGGATTTTGTTTTCATTATGATCAGCTTGTTTGATGGCTCTTCTCATTTAAATCTAAATATAGGCCATGAGAGTTTGAAAAAATTACAAAATGAAAGAAAAACATTAATATATTTTTTATATCTAGTTCTATGTGAAATAAAAACATTATTATTATTTTTTTCACTTTCAATGTGAACTATATGAAAGTGGCTCAACTTTATTAATATAGTGCACATCTTATATGCACAAGTTATGAAATAATCTATTTAAGTTATTCAAAAGTTTTGGCAGCCACACAATAGTTGGTCAGCTAATTAATTTCCTTAGTCTCCTTCAAGTTGCATTGCATGGGCCATCCCTCCACTTTTAGTATGGGAATGATCATGGTGTAGAGCCATGGTTGTGGTCTCTCATCCATTGGGTTGCTAGAAGTTGATAGATTCATGATAATTTTTTCTAAGTATCTATAGATTCCGAAGGCGAATGTCAATCAATTTGGCAAGTAACACTATATTAATATTGAAATATCTATTGATGATAACTCAACTCTTAAAAGTGTTCTTTTACCTATCCGCTAAAGTCAAGAGAACATATCATCATTTGTGATCAGCCTCTATAATCATTACACATCTAGATGTTGAAGTACGTGTAAGGTTGACAGGGCATAAAGGGACTTTATCATTTCTTCAAAATCATCGTGCTCCATGATCAGAGCATCTACGTGATTCTAATGGTTTGGATTATAATATGCTTAAGAAAACATGCAACATTTGCAAGAACAACATTCGTTATAATATATATATGACTTATGGTCATTTTGGTTCTTTGAATTTTGTGATTAATGCAGTAAATTATGTCTCTCCTAAGAGTACTTGGTTAGATAATTTTGTTTTAGCATTCTTCCTATTTATGGGAGATTTATGACATGTGAGAAGGTCACATAGCGCAGTTGCAGCGGGATTTGAGAAGGAATAGATCGTGATTTGGAACATGCACTTTCCATGACCCCTAGCTCATAGTTGAGTTTTTCTTTGTTTTTTTATGGACAACTCGTCTTCTCCACTTGGGTTGCAATATTTGATTATGAAGCTCCATGGAGGTATCTTTTTTTCTACTTTCCAAATATTAACAAACACAATAGAGGTGAAAAAGGTAAATCATGCTAAATGCTTTCATCTTATTAGATCTTTCTCCAAGTTTTTTTTAAATCTAGTATATGACATATCTACATGGGAAATGGATTAGGGCTAGCTACTTGTGTCTTTTCCATCTTCTCTCTTTTACTTGGCATTTTGAGCACTTTTTATAATTATCATTTTTGTTAATGATAATTAAATTATTTTGCTTAAGAAAAAGAAAAAACTATCTCCATTAAAAACAAAATATCTTTTTGTATATTTTGCGGTGATTAAAATTGATACTTCAGGCAAAAATTATCGTGATCGGGCACGAATCTCGAGGCAAAAATCAAGTTGGAAACTTCAAAAATTAAATCCGGGAGCACCTGAACTCCAATTTCAGCAAACTTACAGTCAAACTGAGCGTCTCGAAAATACGAGCCCAACGACACCAAATTTGACTCAATCCGAGTCCAAATGAGTCCAAATCAAGGACCCATAGCGCTTTTGGAAGGTTCAAACCACAATTTGAGTTACCAAACAGTCTCCGATTTTGGCGAGCTTATAGTCGAATCGAACGGCTCGACGAGACGAATCCAATGAGCCCAAGATCGTCAGATTCCAACACCACTAAGGCCTTAAAATGGCTGACTAACGGTGTATGATCAAAGGATTCAATATCAGCCGTCCATTCAACCACTCCCTATTCTCCCCTGATCTCACACCTATTTACAAGCCATGCCACAACAGAAAAATTATAAATAGAGTCCTCATTCTTCACAAGAGGACTCAAGTAAGAAGGGAAGCAAGAAGAAGAAGGGAAGAAGAAGTGAAGGGGAAGGAGAATCAGCTCCTCCTCGACCACCGCCGGAGTTCTTCCCGCCGCTCGAACACGCCAGGATTCTGCCGGATATTCGGGAGAACGCCAGAATTCTGCCCAAGTGATGCCGGAGTTCTCCTCGTCCACCAACAGACGTCGGACTTCTACCTGATACCTGACCTTCACTCTTCGCCAAGTTTCTACCCGACGCCGGACTTCTACTGGTTATCGGACTTTCGCTGGACGTATATCTGAATATGGATTTCTTTCCATTGTTGGACTTCTACCTGACACCGTCCTTCTGACCTCATCGTCAGATATAGTCCTTCCATCCTCCCTCGCAAGGCAACTAGCCTTCTGACCTCCGTCGCCCACCGACTACAGTCTTTCCGACCTCTGTCGCCCGCCGACTATAGTCCTCCTGACTTATGTCGCCCGCCGACTACAGTCTTTCCAACCTCCGTCGTCAACCGACTACGGTCCTCCTGACTTACGTCACCCGCCAACTACAGTCTTTCCGACCTTTGTCGCCCGCCGACTACGGTCCTCCTCACTTATGTCGCCCATCGACTACAATCTTTCCGACCTCTGTCGCCTGCCGACTACGGTCCTCCTGACTTACGTTGCCCGCCGATTACAGTCCTTCCGACCTCCGTCGCCAGCCGACTACAGTCCTCCTGACTTACGTTGCCCACCGACTACAAGCCTTCCGACCTCCATCGCCCGCCGACTACGGTCCTCCCAACCAAACGAACATGTCAATAGTGATTCTTTGTATTTATATCATGTTATGTACTCTATAAAATGTACATCAAGCTAAGGCCTTCTTCCAAGGAAGGGCCTCATTTGTAATCGACTGCAATACTAGTGGATTCATTCAAACTAGGCTAGGCCCCGTGGTTTTTCCCCCTTTTCAGGGGTTTTCCACGTAAAAATCTTGGTGTCTCATAAATGCTAGACCCTCCCTCTTATCTGATTGCGTGCCGGATTTTCGTACAACGCTAAGACGATAAACTTTATATTTCTCTACCGCCGCGAATACTCTTGTACGCAACAAAAATCATTAAATTTTTTATTATGGCAGCTTAGTAACACCACACAATCAATATCATTACTTTTGCCAGTAAGATTTTTTGTAGAGATATTGAATTAGTTGGGTAGAGAATATTGTGAAGTTTTTACTATGCAAAATTCAATTTAGCATTGATTTAAACAATCATAATAACATAATAATATTACATTAATTTTAGTTGCTTCAATTCTTTACGGCAATTAAAACCGCTATGAGTGAGAAAAATTATGACTTTGAGTATCTCTGCCAATGAACATTACAGTGGTTTAAACCGTCTTAATATTCTAATTATCTTATGATCATCTTAACCATTGCAATCAAAATAAATCTATAATTTTGAGCAATCCTTGCTAATTAGTATTTTAGTTGTTATAATCATTCATATCTACAAACAAAATTGCAGCAGTTATAAATTAGCTTGTTTGACCGTCGGTTTCTTTCTATCTTTGCAAAAACAGTTTTTGGGTAGGGTCAAACTAGTCGGAGGACTAATTTATAATTGGAACTATCTGACTAATCTTTCTGATCCGATATTTAAAACCATGCTTTTAATTGCTTTATTGCAGCTATTTTTAAACCATGAGTGAATATCATCTGCTGCAAATCCTTTTGATATCCCTACCCACCATATTTATTATGGGGTTGACACATTACTAAGGACATCTCCAACCGAAAAACCATTTTCCACTCCAAAATAAAGTAAAACTCTAAAATGAATGCAGTAAGTCATCTCCAATCGAACATCATTTCTTTCTCCTCTTTCGTGCACTTCTTCATCTCGCTGCGAAGGTAGTCATCTTTCTCCTCTTTCGCTCACTTCTTTGGCAAATCCCGTAACAATGTAGGTGAACAGTTTGACACCAATATTGATATCGCACTGTTCACCTATCAAATTTTGCGTTTGAATGAAACGAATGGCGGACGACATACCACAACATGTAGTTCAGTTGAAAATGGTCTAATCACAACTAACCTAGAAAACAAGATGCCATCGAAAAACCTCAACTTCAAATCTCCTCATCATGTACTCTACAATACCCAACACACACACTCTCATTTCCGTGCACTTAGCTTCGCATGCTATCAATGGTTTAAACTTCACACTCCACATAATTAGCTCCATGCTCCCAACTCGGCATATTTATGGCATACTCATCATCTCATAAGAGTTACGAATGAAATATACCATCCAATGGCATCATCATCATCTCTTACGATGTTGTCTTTGATGAATCGTCTTATCCCTACCAATCCCACGCAAATCCAAAAATTTCCCATAGAACTCACTGAATATTAATTCCAGCTGAAATTCTCCCAACATTCTCTTCCACCAGCCCTCAAAATTCCTCATCAGGCACAGTTGCAAGACCTCCCTCCACGCCACCAAATGCTGATGCTTCAATGAAGCCATTACCCCCAATAGCAGCTCACAAGCCCACTTCACACACCCACCCAACGGTCACTATACCTTAAATAGGAAGTCAAAAACCAAAAAAGCTTCACTCATGTGGTCAAGGATTCATATTGGAGAAAAGCCATGTCCGATGAATTTCTTGCCCTTCAACAAATTGGAATGTGGCACCTTGCTCCGTATTCCCCAATATACAGTGTCCTTAGTGTTAACCTGCAAGGAATAAGGTTAGAGAGGAGAAGAAAATTGGATTTCAACTTTTCTCATATATTCGCCTACTGCATTGCATCCCTATTACAGAGTATATAATATGCTGTTGTAACCGAAAGTAAAGTGGCTACGGCAGAGAAACGAGGATGGCAGAGCACATGATGAGCTAAGCCGGGTAGTGGAGAGTAAACTGCCAGGTCAGAATAATTTCTTCTGTTGACCGTTTGCATATGTTGACAGCCTCCCTCAAGCTGATGGTGCCGGAGAAACCAGAAGCTTGTTTCGTAGTGTGAGAAACGGGATGCGAGGAAGCACCTTGGTGAAGATATCAGCTATTTGATCCTGGGTACTTATATGATGCACATTGACAGAGCCTGATTTAATGCAATCCCTTATGAAGTGATAATCCACTTCTATGTGCTTTGTCTGTGCTTTGTCCGGGAATGAAATACCGGATTATGGGCAAGTGCAATTGCTGAAACATTATCGCAATAAAGGAAGGTAGGAGCTGTAATGGAAAATTGGAAGTCCGCAAGTAAGCATCTGATCCAAATAATGTCGGTAGCAGCAGTGGCTAATGCACGATACTCAGCTTCCGTGGATGAGCGAGCAACAGTGGGTTGTTTCTTTACACACCAAGAGATAAGATTTTCGCCGAGAAATAAGCAGTAACCGGTTGTGGATTTTCGATCAAACGGATCCCCTGCCCAGTCGGAATCGGCATATGCCCGTAGAGATAAAGAACCAGAGCGAAGTTGTATACCAAAATCTGCAGTGCCTTTTACATATCGAAGTAGATGTTTGAGGGACAGAAAATGTTGCTGAAGAGGTGTATGCATAGCTTGACACAACATATTAACAGCATATGAAGTGTCCGGACGAGTTATCGTCAAGTATTGAAGAGCACCTACCAGCTGTCAGAACAGCTCAGGATTGTCAAACGGCTGCAGTCCATTCGGCTCAGCTGAACGTTTGGTAGGCAAAGGGATTGTGACTGGATTGTAGTTAGACATTCCCGCACGATGCAGCAAATCCAAAACATATTTGGATTGTGAGAGATGATATCCTGAAGCATCGGGTATGGCTTGAATGCCTAGAAAGTAATGTAGATTACCGAGATTCCGAATTTGAAAATGCTGATGAAGGTTAGCAAGTAATTCAGATAACAATGAAGGATTGTTTGTTGTAACTAAAATGTCATCTACATAAACCAAGAAATAGATTAGAGCCGAGTTATGGTTGTAGATGAGCAAGTATGGATCCGCATCACTGTGTCGAAAGCCCCAAGCTTGAAGATGATTAGTAAGTTTGGCAAACCATTGGCGCGGAGATTGTTTAAGCCCATAAATGGCTTTTTGAAGCTTGCAAACATAGTTAGGATGCTGAGGATCTTTGAATCCCGCGGGCTGATGCATATAGACGATTTCATTTAAATCACCATGTAAAAATGCATTGAAGACATCCAATTGCGTTATGGACCACTGATTGTAAAGAGAAGTGAGAATAAAAAGACGGATAGTAGGCAATTTTGCTACTGGACTAAATGTCTCCGTATAATCTATGCCAAACTCCTGACGATGACCTTGGGCAACCAAACGAGCTTTGTAGCGAGCTATGGATCCATCCGATTTACGTTTGGTTTTATAAATCCATTTGCATCCGAGCACCGTTTGTGAGGTTGGATGAGGAACAAGAACCCAAGTTCCTTTCTGTTGGAGGGCTTGAAACTCAGAGGACATAGGATCACGCCAACAACTATGCTTGGCAGCCGCTGAGTAACAAGTAGGTTCGGGTTCGTCAACAAGGTGATGTTGAAGATTAAAGACTGGCTTTGGCTTAAGCACTCCAGATTGGAACCGGGTAATCATGGGATGTTTAACAGGTGGAGGTAAAGGTATAGGGGAAGAAGTACTAGGAGAAGAGGAAGGAAGTAACTTAGGTGTTGAGATATGCTCAGCAGAAGACGGGCTGGATGAAGGACCAAGAGAAATTTGACTTGATGATACATTTTGAGGAAGAGTAGGTTTATCTGAATTTGGTGGTTTCTGGATAGGTAGGGAAGGAGGAACCAAGAGAAGAGGAGGTGTTGTAGAGTTAATATCCACATGAGGAGATGATTGAGTGGGGTTGATGGAGGAGATGAACGGAAAGACCTGTTCGTGGAATTGCACATGACGATATATGAGTATTTTTTGCTTTGTTAAATGATAACACCTGTATCCTTTATGATTGCTGCTATAGCCAAAAAACTGACAGGCTGAAGATTTCGGCGCAAATTTGTGTGGTGCAGAAGGCTGAAGCCAAGGATAACACAAACAGCCGAAAACTTTGAGGTGTGAGTAGGAAGGAGGGTGCTTGTACAGACGTTGATATGGAGATTCCAAGTGGGTATTTTGTGATGGAAGTAGATTAATCAGATACACTGCAGTCAACACAGTTTCTGACCAGAACCGAAGGGGAAGATTAGCCTGAAGAAGAAGAGTGCGTGTAGTTTCTATGATATGACGATGTTTAAGCTCGGCAAGCCCATTTTGTTGAGGTGTATAAGGACAGTTAAACTGATGTATGATGCCTTGAGTGGAAAAGAAATTTTTAAAATGAGAATTGTTAAATTCTCCACCGCCATCTGAACGATATATTTTAATAGATTTAGAGAATTGTTTTTGTAGCATGGCATTCAACTGAATGAATTTAGAAAACACTTCTGATTTAGTGCACATTGGATAAACCCAGCTGAAACGAGAAAACTCATCAAGGAACAAAACATAATATATGTATCCATTAATAGAAGAGGTAGGGGAAGGACCCCATACATCAGACACAACTATTTGAAAGGGAGAAGTACATTTTGACTTGGAATTGAAAAACGAAATTCTATGACTCTTTGCTGTTTGACATGGATGACAAACATTTTCGGAAACTGAAATGTTTAACAAAGGAAAACAACGAGTTACAGTGGACAAAATTGCCTTGTGAGGATGGCCGAGCCTGGCATGCAAAAGAGAGGAGCTAGTGGTGGTATGAAGAGCAGTTGAGGATGATCTTGTAGGAAGACTGACGGGGTATAATCCATCAGAGCACGGACCCGAGAGAATCGACTGATTGGTTGTCTGGTCCTTTATGTCAAAACCATGAGGGGAAAAGGAAACAATGCAATTGTTATCAGAAGTTAATCGATGGACAGAGAGTAAACTGTGAGTAACTTTGGGAACATGAAGAACAGGGAATAAAGACAGCTTACGTTTAGGAGTAGGGAGAATACCATGACTAGTATGAGAGATGGGAAGGGACTGCCCGTTGCCAACCTGAATTTGCTGATAGCCATGGTAAGGTTGACCTCAACCAGAGGATGCTGTGAGAGCCAAGGGTTGATCGGAGAGCTGAACAGAGTGAAGCGCTCGGGTTGCTTCATTTTCGAGATTCATTTCTTCACTGCATAGCAAAGAGTAGAAATCATCTAAGCTTAATGGCTGCAGATTTGTACGACCGCAGTCTTGAAACCTTGATACGAGGCCGGTAGGCCATTGAGGGTGTACATAATAACATCTTCGGAGTCCAAAATGCATCCAGCAGCTGTAAGTTGATCAACCTTGATTTTGATATCAGTTAAAAACTGTTGCATCGTTTTATTTCCCATAGAAATAAAATTCAGATCATTTTTTAGCTGAAGAACGCGGGAACGATTCGAAGACTGAAGTCGTTTGCCGATGGTCTCCCATATTTCAGAGCAGGAATTCAAATGCAGAATATATGGAAGAAGGGATGTAGAGATAGTTGAAAGAAGAGCAGCGGGAAAATTTTGATCTATCAACAGCCAAGTAGAATAGTGAGGGTTCGAAACTACCGCTACGGTAGCCGAAGCTATTTGACGAGGCGGACGCGGAACAATGCCATCTAAATACCCTTCGAAACTATTTGCTCGAAAGACCTTGAGCACTTGTGATCGCCAGGGAAGATGATTTTCAGGAGTAAGCTGAACTGTAATCACATTCTTAATGGTAGACATTAAGAACTTTAACTGAGGGGGAATAATTGTTGTTCCAACAAGCGGAGCCGAAACAGGTGGGGCTGATTCAACCGGAGGAGGCGGAACTGGAATACTGTCCGCGGTGGAAGAGCTGCCGGACTCCATTGGAGAAAGAGAAAAAAAAAAACAACAAGCCGTAAGGCTTACTGAAGCTCTGATACCATGTTAACCTGCAAGGAATAAGGTTAGAGAGGAGAAGAACAATGGATTTCAACTTTTCTCATCTATTCGCCTACTGCATTGCATCCCTATTACAGAGTATATAATATGCTGTTGTAACCGAAAGTAAAAGTGGCTACGGCAGAGAAACGAGGATGGCAGAGCACATGATGAGCTGAGCCGGGTAGTGGAGAGTAAACTGCCAGGTCAGAATAATATCTTTTGTTGACCGTTTGCATATGTTGACACTTAGTTGCTGTTGGACATACAAGAACAAACTCCACCCACTTGGACAAATTGCTCGAAATAAGGCTCGTCTTATCGCATAGGGCTGTTAGGAAAAACCTGGCATAGACTACAACGAAATCTTCAGCCCCGTAGGACATTCGTTTAACAGTTGGTGCTCGCTATGCTTAGAAAGCACACCAATTTGACATTTCTAATGCATTCATGCATGAAAAACTCATGGATGAAGTCTATATGCAGCAACCACCGGGACTTTTAAGACTTGCAACATCTCAATCATTTCTGTTACTTGCAGCAGAAGACTATTTATTAACTCAAGCTGGCGCTTCACCAATGATTATCCTCATTCTTCGCTCCTCCACTTCAACGAGGTTTTCAATTCAGCAAATCTGATCCATCATTGCTCCTCATTCTCCGCTCCTCTCCTTCACCTCTGCATATACATATCCCGTTTGGATGGCCGGAGGCTTGCCGGAATTGCAATCGATTGAATATAGTGTGGTTGGAGATGCCCTTAGTCATTTGGTTCAAGATTTTCATTTGCACATTCAATAAACCTCATCCCTCCATTATGATAACACTTGAGCTGTATAAGCCTCATAAACAGCCTGGTGTTACGTGCTCACATAAGGCACATATTTAAGTTTTTTTTTTGTTTGTAATATTTTATATTTTTGGATATCAAATTTATTCATTATTTTATGGGAGAAAAGATTATTTTAGTTAAATTAAAAAATAGATAAAATATTTAATTAGCATAAGAATATATTTAATTCATTTTAATAAACATTTAAATCTTTTATGGTTTAAAAATGCTATTTAGTGTTCTATAAAAATAATATTTTGCAATTGCTGATATTTTTTGTCCCATTATCACGAGACGGCCGGTCTGAAAGTTGCTCCAAACAGGCTGTTCAATATCAAAAACATCTTGTTGTTAACGATTATCTTGCTGGCCATTAAAAGAGAAAGAAACTGAAAACTTTCTAATTGTAATTTTATTTTGTTGACATTTTGCATCTTAAAGTAGATTATAATGCTGATCTATGCCAATAATTTTAAAATACTTATCGGCCTTTGGATTTTCAAACATCTATAAAATTTTTATTAATATGGATGAGGGGGTACTCAAATTGCATATAAAATTTTATTGCTTATCCATGCATATGTTATTTTTAAAAGATTTAATATTATCAATCTAAACACAATTGACACAAATAAGGGCGCCCTTAGTCCACAGTCCCTCCAACCATTGTCGTTCCGCTACTATCCCATCGACCTCCAACGCACGACTACGGTCCCTCCGACCACAATAACCCTATTACGATCCCTCCGACCACCGTCGCCCGACTAGGTTCCTCCAGACTTCATTGCCCAACTACAGCCCCTCCAACTATCGTCGCCTAACTATGGTTCCTTCGACCACCGTTTTCTGACTATGGCCCATTTGATCATCGTTGTCTTATTACGGTCCCATGGACCACCATAACCCAACTATGGCCCTTCAGACCTCCATCGTCTGACTACGGTCCCTCCCAATTCCGTCACTAACTAAGATCCTTCCAACCAACATCATCTAACCCTGTCACTCAACTATGGTTCCTTCGACCTTCATCACATGACTATAGTCTCTCTGACTATCGTTGCCCGATTACAAACCTCCAACTATTATCGCCTAACTACGGTTCTTCTGATCATACAAACAAGTAAACAATATCTTAAGAATATAGCTCTTATGTTACTGGGTTCTTCCAATTATAACCCTAAACCACAATACCTCTTAAATGACTTGTTCTATACCAAAATTTTCATAATAATTTTCTTAAAAACTTTTCAATCGAAATTTTCAACACAGCTATGGCCCCAATCAATAAAGCCAATAAGCCAAATTCAAAGCTTTGAGGATTAAATAAATTCTTAAATAAAACTGTGTGCATTAATACATAAAAAAGATCACATTCAGTTGGACCATTAAAAAGTAATTAAAGCCTTAATTCGAAATTTGTACAACAAATGAATTTCTTTTGACTAATGAGTAATTACAAAGGCACGAAGCTGCAGTTGTTTTTTCTATTGACTTTTTAATAAAATAATAATAATTATTATAATAAATAAAGAGAAAATTGAAACTAAAGTTTCACTTGAGATAGCTTTCTTATTGCTTTTAAATAACTTTTTAGTACAAAAATTAAATTTTTTTAACTAGAGGCCGTTTGGTTTGGTCTTGAGGTGATTGAAAAATCCCTAAAAAAAGATTATGGGACATAAGCTTTTAGCTTTGATTTTTTATTTGAGATTTTTATTGATTAACATCATGCAAGAATGATGTCAACATTATCCAAACAACTGTGTTTCAAATATAATAGAGTCATTTTACACATCATTCCATTTTACACTATATTTTTTTCTAATCAAATCAAATATCCCACTAGTTTAATTTTGGTGTTTTTGAAAATTATTAGATTCGACAAATTTTAAAATACTATAAATTCTCTGTAATTATCCCAAGCATCACTCGTCGACACGCCACCAACTACATCTCGCCAGTCACTAGGCCATAATTGGCCACTCTGTGGTCATTGCTGCCATCGACAACAAGTCATTACCATTGTTAGGGTTTACACTACTTTTATTTTACTTCAAAGGAAATAAAAAAATAAACACCACCTTTATTTATTTTACAGTTATCCAAATAATTTTAAATATTTCAAATATATTATAATTTTTATACTATATTTATTTTAGTCACTTTTTCATTCAATGAAATGGCTCCTTAAAAATTAAAATCTAAATTTAATAGGGTGAATATTTTGATGATGTATAAGAATACTTATGTATATATAATATCCCCCATCATTAAGTTGCAATTCACATGTTATAAACTTCACATACTTCAAAAAAAGATGGTATAAAATAATCATTTTCTTATGATTAATATAACAAATTTTTTATGCAAACTACCTAAGGAGCTATTTAGTTAGCTATAAAGTGAATATAGTGAAAAATAAATACTTTAATATTGTTTGATTGTCTATAAAGAAAATATAAGGGAAAAGTAAAGTAAAATCACTGTATTATGAATACGTAGAGATCTATTTTCAAAATGATGAATTGTGATTAGGATTTATGCTGATTTTGAGCTGGAATTATGCCAAATCATCTTAATTGACCCCAACTAATTAGGAGAAGGTTAATGTTAATAACTGAAAAATATAACATATGAAGTGTTACAAAAACTATATACCCAACATCATTGAACCCTTATGCTAATCAAGGGTTTTGATAGGAGGACAACAACCACGGAAATGCTAATTGAGGTTCTATTGAGGAGTAAAACAACCAAGGAAATATCTCCAGTAATGATGGGAAGGCTCCGTACCACCACATCGCTACCAAAAACCTAGTCAGCGATTAAATTACAGTGAGGCTTCGGTGCCTTAAATGACGTGGAAGATGCTAGAGAAGGAGAAGAGGAAGATGCGACGAAGAAAACTTGAATGGAGTGAAATTTTGTTCAATGCTCGAAACTTCCATGACTATCAATCTGATAGAAAGGGAACATCATTGAAAGGGCGAAGTCGAACAGCAGGAAGGAGCCAATGAAGTGCTCGAGCAAAACTCTACCTCATGTGAAGCCGACATGAAATAGAGAAGAAACACAGATGATTCCCTCACGTTCATCTCATGAATTTCTTTTTCGCTCAAATTGGACGGTTTTACTTTGTCCGTAAAATAAATGAAATATGAGAGTTTCGAATTCTTTAAATTTTATTTTACTTTATTTTGTATCAAACCAAATAAATAAAAAGTTAAAATACACATATTTGATTTACTTTATATCATGCCAAATAGCCCCTTAAGGATAAGCAAAAGAAACTTGGTCGCCTATTTATTCAAAAAAATGTAATTTCTTGTATACTTTCATGAGATAAGCAAAACGTAATTCTGATCTGACGCCGTCATTAACTTAGATTCATCAACAAGCCTTTTAGAAAGATTTACACGCGCGAAAGAAATTAACTCACTGGAAACCTGTTTTCGTGAAGAACTGTGGCAGCTCACAGTTCAAACAGTAGAAATTTTATTGCTTAAGTCAACGTTCTCCTCCTCTTCGTTCTCCCCAGACATCTCCTCCAGAGACTTTCCCTTCGATTCCGGCACCAGAAAAGTAAACATCAGACCCAATAGATTACAAGCGGCGAGCACAAAAAGCGCGTTCTTCACTCCAATCCCAGGCGGATACCCGCGATCGGTCTTCGTCTTATCCTTGTTCTGTGCTGCGTACAGAAATCCAAACGATCCCACAATAGCTCCGGCCTTCCCGGCCGCCGCCGATATTCCATGGCACGTCGACCTGAACCTCGCCGGAAATATCTCCGCCGGCACAATGAAAGTTGTGCTGTTAGGCCCAAAATTGGCGAAGAAGAAGGTTAGCCCATACATAACCACGAAGCCAATGTGATTTCCCGGCGTCGTCCAATGATGGTAAGGAATTGCAAGCCCCAGCATGAATACCATCATGAAGAAGAATCCCATCATTTGTATGGTAAACCTTCCGATAATATCGATCAGCGCAACTGTGAACCAGTAACCAGGCACGGTGCCGCATAGGGCGATGAGAGTCTGAGCCCTCGCGATCTTGAAAACCTCTTCCAACGCGTTCATCGTCGCCGCCTTTGGTATCCATCCTATAGCGCTAAAGATGTCTTTTTGAAACAGGTTCTGGCTGTAGAACGCGATGTCGAGAACAAACCATGTCGTCGTCGTTCCGAGTAGATGAAGGCCGTGACGATGAGCAAACTCCTTTGAAAAAAGACCAAATTGATTGCTTTCTTTGAGAGTAATTCTCTCAACCTTCTCCTGCTCCTCCTGGATCTCTACTTGAAGCACTCTGGTCATGTCCTGCGCCGCCTGCTTCGCGTTCTTCGCCACCAACGCGGTGTACCGAGCCGTTTCCGGCATCTTCATCCGCCAGTAGTAAGTCACCCCCGCCGGGATGGCGCCGAACATGAGAATAATTCTCCATACGAAGTCGGCTTCAGGCACGGTGGAGCCGATGGCGTCCGCGCTGTAAGGCGGCGCCTTGAAGTGGTATTTGAAGGCGGAGGATATGATAAGCGTGACGATCCCGCCGGTGAGAATTCCGAACCCCTGCATCGCGAAGACGGCAGCGATGAACGCGCCGCGTGTCTTTTTGTTAGCGTATTCCGACATGATGGTTGCGGAGAGGGGGTAATCGCCGCCGATGCCGAAGCCGAGCCAGAAGCGGAAGAAACAGAGCGTAGCCATGGTGCTTTTGGCTGTATGACCGAAGGAAAGGCCGGAGGCTAGGGAGCAGATGACCATGACCATGAGGGTCATGCCATAAACCTTCTTCCGACCCATCTTGTCACCGAGCCAGCCAAAGAAAAGCTGGCCGGTTAGAGTGCCGCAGAAAGCGACGCCGTTAACGGCGGCCGAGACGTTTGGGGGAAGGGTGCCGGGGGTCGGAGAGCCGTCGATGCGATAGTAGATGCGGCCGAGGAGTTTGGTGACTAAAGAGATGCAGAAGAGATCGTAGGCGTCGGTGAAGAATCCCATTCCGGCGATGATGATTGCGGTGAAGTGGTAAAGTTGGGTCTTTGCTACATCGAGCGCGTTCAGGACTTCGAGCTGATCTCTAGCCATGGCTACTTCCCTCCTTCCTCTGAAATAACCAACTGGTTAGTTTAGAAAATAGTGATTTTGAAGAAATGAACTTAGAATTCCGCGGGAATGATCGTAGAATCTGAAGCAATTCCTTTATGAGAAAAAACAGTAATATTGGAATAGTTTTTTATTAAAAATTAATTCCTCCATTAATGCAACATAAAAGGGCGAGATTTGAGGTCTCTGATCAGAGAAAAACGAGACAAATTTTAAAAATTTTCCATTAAAAGCTGGAGCAAAAAACGGACAATTTCCTTAAAAAAATAGGTATATCTGTCTTTAAATGACTCATTAGGAGGGAAATAAAACTAATACCGGTAGTCGTGGTAGAGAAGAATAAGCCAATTGAACAGGGGAGTGTAGGGAAAGAGTAAGAGTCCCGAGGAGGAGGAGGAGGAGGAGGAGGAGGAGGAGCAGAGTATTTAATGGGGGAAGGGAGAAAGATTTGACTGCCAGTTAACGGCTATTTAATGGAATATTCTTAGATTCTACAGTAATATACCTCTTGAAACCTTCCAATGCACTTTCGGATTAACAGGTCGGGGGATCCAAGTCATTTTCAGATCAAGTTATAAAATAGTTGGATAAATTTTTGGGTAGACCTAATTGTATATGAACTTCCAACATATAATGAAAATATTATTTGAATATGTCAAGAACATTTAGATATATTTATTATCTTATATATTGTTGAAGGTGTTAGTATATATATGATTGCAAGAAGATTATAAAAAAAATGTATATGCCTAATGAATAAATAAGTTCAACCCCTTGTAATAATGACCGGATGAAAATAAGAATGATTATTGATACGTAGTCGAAAATTAATATTTTTTTATCGGGAACAAATCTCGAGACAAAATCAAGTTGAAAACTTTCGAAATTAAAATTGAAACCATCCGAACTCCGATTTCAGTAAACTTACAGTCGAACTGAACGTCTCAGAAATATGAACCCAACGATACTAAATTCGACTCAATATGAGCCCAAATGAGTCCAATCAAGGACCTGAAGCGTTGTTGGAAGGCTCGAACTACAATTTGGGTTAACAAACAGTTTCCAAAAATGACGTGCTTATAATCGAATCGAGCGGCTCGACGAGACAAATCCATTGATCCCAAGATCGCCAAATTCCGACATCATTAAGACCTTCAATTGTCTATTGAATGGTCCATGATCAAGGGATTCAACATCGGCCATCCATCCAACCACTCCCCATTTACCCTTAATATCTCACCTATTTACGGGCCATGCCACTCCAAAAACCTATAAATAAACCCCTCATTTCTCCTTAAAAGGGACCCAAGCAATAAGAGAAGAGAAGGAAGAGAAAGAATAAGCTCCTCATCAACCACCGTCGGACTTCCGCCGGACTACCGCCTAACATCGTTGCTCCGTCGGACCACCACTAGAGGCCCTCACCTCCGCTGGACCACCACTAGAGGCCCTCACCTCCGCCGGACCACCACTTGAGGCCCTCACCTCCGCCGGACGACCACCTTACATCGTTGCTCCACCAAACCTCCACTTGAGTCCCTCACCTCCACCGACCACCGTCTGACGTCGTTGCTTTGCCGAATCACTACTTGAGGCCCTCACCTCTGCCGGACCACCGCCTAACTTCGTTGCTCCCCGGATCATCGCTTGAGGCCATCACCTCCGCCAGACCACCGCTTGAGGCCCTCACCTTTGTAAGACCATCGCCTGGCGTCGTTGTTCCGCCGGACCACCACTTGAAGCTCTCACTTCCATTGACCACCGCCTGACGTGTTGCTCCGTTGGACCACTACTTGAGGCCCAAACTTCTGCCGGACCACCACTTGAGGACCTGTGCTCCACCAGGCCACCACTTAAGGTCCGAACTTCCGCCGGACCACTACTTGAGGCCCGAAGCTCCCCCAGGACACCAACTGACGCCTGGAGTTTTGTTGGACCACCACCTAGGTCCCAGACTTTTGTCGAACCGCCACATGAAGCCTAGAATTCTACCGGACTACAATATGAGACTCTGACTTTTGTTGGGCCACCACTTGACGCTGAGAGTTCTCCCGGAGTACCGTCCTTATACAATGATCTTTCTAACCCTAGTCTCTTGCCTACTACGATCTTTCGAACCCCTGTCTCCTACCGATTATAGTCCTTCCGACCTCCATCACCAGACAACGGTCTTTTTGACCTCAGTCTCCTGCCAACTACTGTCTTTCGGACCCCTGTTGTAATATCAAAAATCTGCTCCAGGATCGTCCAAGACGATCTGGATCGTCCTGGGACGATCAGTGTAGTAGCTCTGTTGTTCTGTGTTTGTGTGTCTGTTGAGTTAATTATTTTGGAAGATTCAGTTCAGAACCAAATTCCAAAGCCAGATCCTGGATTAGAAGGTTCTGTCGCGATCCGGCTCGGGCGGGATCCGTCCCCGTCGGGTCGGGTCGTGACACCTGTCTTGTGCTGACTATGGCCCTTCTAACTAAACAAACATGTCTATATTGATTATTGTAACTCCCACCATGTAATGCGCTCTATATGACATACATTTGTAACATCAAGCCAATGCCTTCTCCTTAGGAAGGGCCTCATTTCTAATCGACTGCAAATACTAGTGGATTCATTCAAACTGGGCCAGACCCCATGGTTTTTCCACCTTTTCAGGGGTTTCCACATAAAAAATCTAGTGTTTCTTATGAACGCTACACCCTCTCTCTTATCTTCTTGTGTGCTAGATCTTCATAACATGCTAAGATGTTAAACTATATATTCCTCTACCGCCACGAATACTCCAGGATGCAACAATTATCCTAATTTATGTAAGTTTTAGATGTTGCTCATGAGACAATAAATATGTTATAACATATTATCCTCTATAAAGTATGATATCTTTATCTTACCAAGTGATGCGTCCCAGAATAGTCACGTTGGTCAGTGGCGTACGTTAAACCCCTCCGCCACTGATGGCGATAGAGAGATAGGTCTCACTACCATCTTAAAGAATTTTTTCTTAAGTTATAGAGTGACTTTCTTTCACACACAATAAGTCTAATGCATTCCTCCATTTTAACCATCCAACATGAATTTTACTAATAATATCTACATTTATTACACCATTACAATGAATAATAAACTCATGAAATTTAAGTTAGAAAGATGGATACCTTTTCAACGTGAAAGCTCCGATCGGTTGAGAGGAGGAACCTCGTGGAACGAGCTGAGCAAGGTCACAATTAGAGGTCAGGTGACGGTGAGGAAGTGTCGAAGGAACGACAAAGATGAACGGCCATGAAGTTTATGTGATAGGAAGGAACGTCGTCGATTGAGGCGACAGGAAGTAACGTCGTCGAAGGAGGCCGAGCAACTAGCGGTGAGAGGTGAAACAACAGCCACAAAGATAAAAAACAGCGAGGAAGTGTGACTTCAGATGCAAGAGGAAGGAGCATCGTCAAAGGAGACGATGCCAAGCAAAATTCGTCAAAGGAGCTCGCAGCCACGATCAAAAGAAAATGTTGAGCAAATGAAAGAAATGGCTAGTCAGCCGATTTAGATAAGGTTTTTGCGTTAAATTTGCAACATATTTATGGCAAAATATTTTTCGCAAAGGAGCAACAGATTTTTGGCCGCAAATCCATCACAAAAAGTACAATCTATCACAATTTCATAGAAAAAAAATTATCGTCTTAAATTCCGCAACAAATTGATGACTTTCTTGTAGTGGATGGTGTAATAGATTGAGATATGATGTATTATAAACTGAGTAATTGATACATATAACTAGTATAGATATTGATGCATTTATTTTTTATATAATTTATAATATATTATTTCTCTTTTTTATTACATTGATTTCAGTTATAAGATTTTGATACTTGTTGGGCTTTCATGCTCATTACATGGTTTAAATGATTTCATGTAAGGAGCCTTTAGCTTGAGGCTAAATTGAGATGCTAGTGTAGTTTATTTCAGCTCTTTAATTTATATATTATTTTGTAATCTATGAAGGATATTGTATGTACTTACTATGTTGGACTTTATCGACATGATGTAATATGGACTTTAAAAATATGAATTATGTTTTCCAAAATTAATAAATATACATAATATAAATATTTTAATTTATTGTAACATAATGGTATAATTATTTTTAATTAATAATTTTTAAAGTAATTAAATATTATAATATATGTTGTAGTTTTAATTTCCTTACAATTGATAATTTATTATATTACATCATTAGATCATGCTCATTTGATAGCTCAAGTAGACCTGTCAATATTTGATCCGACCCGAAAACCTGACCCGAACTCGACCCGAAATTTTCGGGTTTGGGTTGACCCGAACCCGAAACGGGTCGGGTTCGGGTCCGGGAAACCGACCCGTTTGCAAAAACAGATCATCGGGTTGACCCGACGGGTTGCTGGGTCAACCCAAAAACCCGTTTAATTTAAAAAATTTTGATTCCTGCCCTTGCCCGCTGCCCCAGCCTGAGCTGCCCGCTGCCTGCGTCCGCTTCCCATCATCCGCTGCGGCGCTGCTTTGAGCTCGCCTGCCCGACTGCCTCGAGCCGCCTGCCCCGCTTACACCGAGGCCAGCCTGCCCGACGGTCGTGGGTCGCGTCCCCAGGCGAAGTCCGTTCACGCCATCACCGTGTCCGCGCGTTTTCATGCTGTGTCCGTGCATCGCCAGGAGAGGAGGCCACTCAGGCCAGCAAAGTCCAGCGGAGGCGAGGCTTCCGCTGCAGCCGCCGTCGGTCCGCTTCCAAGTCCGCGGGTCGGGTCGGGTTGACCCGAACCCGAAGCGGGTCGGGTTCGGATTCGGATAATCGACCCGTTTACAAAAACGGGTCGGGTTGACCCGAACCCGAATATTATCGGGTCAATCCGGGTTCGACCCGAACCAGACCTGTGACCCTAAATTGACAGGTCTAAGCTCAAGAATACTCTTTAGATTTGTTCATGAACATGCTTGTTTGATCGTTTAAAAAAATTTGCTAAATATGTTCACGAACAGAGCTCGTTAAAGCTCGATAAGCACTAAACGAATCAAACATGAACCAAATATTAACCAAATATGAACACCATTAAAATAAACAAACCAAACATGAACACAAACAATAAAGCTCGAATCAAACACGAACCGAACTTGAATAAGTTAATAATAAACGAACTCAAACATGAACACTCACATACTCGACTCGGCTCGGTTCCTTTGCAGCCCTAATGGCTGCAAATGATTGATCATTGATAGATTATTAAATGAAAGGATAATAAAGACAGAAAAAAGAACATAAATTCTTTTATTTTAGATCATGGGGCGTGACAGGTCGAGCAACTATGGTTGGGCATTAGAAGTCATATACTATAATTGGGCAAAAATACTCAGAGGACCCTAGTCAAGTGATAATGTAGGAAGATCGATGAAGGGTGACAT